AGGAGCATACTCACAGCAGCTCTACAAGACTTCCTTGCTACGTTCTTTTTACCCGTCTCGACAACTAAATGCTCGGGATTAATACATCCAGTTTGGCCGCAGAGGTGGCTTACTTCGCAACCCTCAGCTAGTTTAAGTACATCTTTTGGACGAAATGCCTTAATAGCTAGTCTATGAGCATATTGCGTACGTAGTCTTCTATTTGAAGTCTTTAATACCATTGGCTCAATACTAACATACCCGCTCTAGGTTTAAGTATCAGTATATAGAGTTAAGAGTTAAGAAATAATAAAAGAGACAGACTTTTGTGGCAGGCCTTTTCTGAGTAATCAGGCATCCATTTGGCTTTTTGATTGCTGGTCCGTAGGAAATCCCACTATTAGAGGAAGATCCCTCAACTAATCGTTTCTGCCACGTCCTGAAGGCCTCTTCGGGAGACATCGACAAAAGGTCAGACAAAGTAGAGCTCAATGGTGGGTCTTCAGGAGGCGTGTCTCGGGGAGGCGTGTCTCGGGGAGGTGTATCTTGAGGGGGTGGAACCGGGATGGGCGGAGGCGGGATGTATGTCTCGCTCCTTGGTAGAAGTTGAAGTCGTTGGTCTGAGACGGCCGTTTTGGTCTGCAGTGATGGACGACGTGTCGGGATGTTGGGAGGCGGGATGTAAGTCTCGCTCCTTTGCACGAATTGTCGGTCTGATACGGCCGTCCCAGTCCGCTGTAGGACATATCGAGACGGGATATGAGGAGGCGGGACGTGCGTCTCGGTACTTAGTGGTGTACGACTCGTCGGGATGGGCGGAAGTGGGATATGTGTCTCACTCCTTTGTAGATGTTGACGGTCTAAGACGGCCGTCCCGGTCCGCTGTAGGCTATATCGAGACGGGATATGAGGAGGCGGGACGTGCGTCTCGGTACTCTCTGCATGAGACATCTCGGGAAAAACGAGGGAGAATGGGGTGGGATCGGGGTTTCGAGGAGGCGACTGGCGGACGGGACGGCGCGTGTTATCTTCGGGCGGGTCTGGCTGCTTCTTAAGGCAGACAGGAACGTGCAAGTAAAAACGTTATCCTAGAGAGTATATCCTTTAAGCAGTTTGTCCGTCTTCTTAGCTGTCTCGCCGTGGCTATATACGGAGGCTTACTCTTACGTTTTTGATAATAAGTAGATATGTCGAAGTAAGGTATGTAAGAAATGAGTGCATGATAGTTACGAGATAAAAGAGGTGCGGGTTTGGATACGAAAAATTTTTATAGTGGGGTCATAGAAACCTTAACACACGTATAGTAAGGACCCATTAGTATCTATATAGCGCACAGGATCCCGCAAAATTAATAATTCTAATACTAAAAATAAGTATTAAGTATAATAATAAATAAAAATAAAAACGTAATATAATATATTAAGTATTAATTTATTATTTTAAAAAGTTCTATTAAGTTTAATTTTAAATAAGCTATATTATTGAATCTTTTTTAAGATATAATAAGATAAATTTTATTTATAATAAATTATTTGGCGTTAAAAGTGCGAATAATACTATATTTATACTATATTTATTAGTACGTTTTCAAAAAGTTTAGGTATTAGTTTTTCAATTACTTGTATTAGTATAATAAAGTTGGTAGGTTTATACTAATGTACTAAGTAGGTATATAAAATAATAAGTGATCACTATATTTTTATTCAACTACTTATAGGTTTAGAATATAACTTTTAATAAAAACAAAGTATATAATTAATACTCTCTAATTAATACTCTCTAATTAATTAGTTTATTAGGGCCTTTATTTATTTTATTATTCTATCTTTACTAGCTACTTAGGCAATTCTTAGTATAACTATATAGTATTAGTAAATACTCCTATTATTTTAATAGACTATTAAAGCTTTTATATATATTATATATTAAAATAAAACAATATAAATTACGCTCCTTATCTAATTACTAACTGGGATAGTTATTTATCTTTATTATGTAGTTCAATTTTATTAATAGTTCTATTTTTATATATTTTTGTATAATTAAAATATATAATATAAAGAGGTATTTAATAAGCTTACAATTTATTTAAAATAGTTATATTTATTAAAATAATATAATATGATATTAAATTATAACAAAACTGTACTTATTCTTTAAAATATTTAGTAGTCAAGAGTTATAATAAACCAAATAAATCACTTAATATATAAAGAGTAGTAGTATCATTTCTTCATAATATTATTTATATTTATAAAGTAATAAGTTTTATATTATTATAATATAAAAAGAATATTGATTTCTATATATAATTTTATATATTATTGAAAATATTTTACTTAATCTAGGCCTTTTTTATACTTATTCGTCTTTAAGTATTATAATAACTTAATTGTATAATAAACTAAATTTTATATGTTAAATAAAGAGGTGATATTTGATTATTATAATAATATATAAAAAAACATTATAGTTTAAGAAACTAATAACTTAAATAATTTTAAAGAATTTTTAATTACTAATTTATATTATTTTTATATATAGTAGTTTTTTCTAGCTTTATAAATATAAAAGATCGACCTTAACGAGATTATACTTTTGAAAACATTATATAATATAATGTACTTTTTAATTATATAATATACGTAATATATCTTAAGTACGTACTTAATATAATATAATATTTTTAATATAAAAACCGCTATTTAATTTAGAATAGATAAGCTATTTTTTACGTAACGGCGCTAGTTAAAAAGGTTAATAATAAAGATTAATTATAATAATTAGCTATAATAATTAGGCATAATAATTAGAAGTAGCCTTTTTAAATTATAAAAGTTCTAAACTTTAATAACGACGTAAAGGTTTTTGAAAAAGGGCTAAATAGGGTAATATTTATTATTTAAAGCTCGTAAAAATTCTTTTTATCCTTATTACTTTTAATATTACTTAAACCTACTCTCTATTGAAATTAAATAAATTTGCTATATAAACTTATTAATATATAAATTATTAATTTAATAAAAACTTATTCTAAATATACTTTTTAAGAAGTCTATTTTTCTTAACCCAGGCGCCCTTTTTAGCTAAGTCGACGCTATAATTATTATAACTAATATAAATATACTTAAAAAATAGTAAAGTACTTTTTAATAATATAAAATTTAGCTAAGTAGTATTATAAATATTATAAATAATTAAGTTAATATGGATATAAAGGTTTAATATATTAATATTAGCTTAGTTATAATAATTATAATAAGCGAGCTAGAGGTATATAAAGTTAAAATAATAAATTAATACTTTAAATAGCTCTTATAAAACCCCCTAAGTAATAATAACACTTATATAAAAAAAAGATTATATTAAACCTAGCTATTTATATAAGCTAGTATTAAAAAGTCTTATATATATTAAAATAAATAAAACTTACTTTATAAATAACTAGAACCTAAAAAGACTTTATATAATAAAAGGTTAAAAGTTATTAATAAGAAGAAGATAATAATTAAGTTAGTTAATTATTATTTTAATTAATAATTAGGTATAGAGCGTAATATACTTAGTTTTCTTTAATATGTAATATATAATACGGCCCCGGCGGATTACTTTATTAAGGGGATATTATTTTTATATTTAAACGCTTTTTTTATATTTATAATAATTATATTAAATATAACTTAATTTATTATAAAATCGATTTCACCTAAGTTATATATATCAGACTTTATAACATTATATTTTATAACTATATTTATTACAAAATAAATTATATAATAATTATATTTAAATCTTTATATTAAGCTTTTTAATAATAATATTTATAAAATAAACGCGTTTAAAGCTATAATTAGTACTAAATAAAATAAAAACCTTTGAATCTTTTAATAATAAGTATAATATAATTAATAAGTAATTTATTAATTAATTATATTCTTTATATTATTCATATAAAGAAAGTATACTTAGAATTTCAAATTAAAAATATACTTAACTAATTTCTATTCCTTTGTTTAATAATATTAAATTCTATAAATTAAGGATAGTATTATATTATAATGATTATCTTTTTATTTATATATAAGTATAATATAATTAATTAAATAGATTTTTAATATAGTCTAAACGCTTAGTCAAAAGGCTTTTTTAAATAGCTGAAAAAGTAAGTTAAATTTAAAACTCTTTATTTAAGTATATTATAATATATTAAAAGAAAAAAGTGCTTAATCGTATTAAAGTATTATAATTATAACTTTTTATTCTAAATACTTATTTATTTTACTTATTTATTATATACGTTATACGTTTCTCTTATTATATAATATTTTATTAAATTTTAATCTAATTAAGTTTGATATTTTATATTTGTAAAGCCCTAAAAAACCACTATATAATTAATAAAGAAACTACTCCCTCTTTAGTACTTAATTAAATAAGAAGCGTTCTTATTAAGTAGCTCTTTTTTAGCGTAGACGTCCAGAACGGTCTCTAGAAACAGAGGTCCGGGCTCTAAGGCAATAGGAAGCCGATCGTATATAGACATCTAACTAAGCTAAGGACAGCCGGTCTGGCTGGGTCTGGCCAAATTGCCGCAACTGATTGCCGGTTCGGCCCCGCCAATTCGAGCACGTCCTTATAGTATCCATCGGCAACGGCGGCCAAGTCGGCTCCGACTCTTTGGTTCCGCCACTAATTCCGAACAAATCGAACGTGAGTCGGGTAAAGTGGGGGTTAACCCAAGCTGTCTCTAAAGTGCTGAGAGAGATCTAATCAGATTTGCAATTACAAATCGGTGTGGCAGCCATCGCCGGTAGGGCGACTGCGACACACTGTCAACTCGCACTTGACCCACAGTGCAAGTCTCGTAATACGAGCCAGGCTCCGATTTCTTAGTGAAATACAATCTGTTAAAGCCGAAGTGTCCTGCAACCGAAGCTTCCACACTCAATTGTTCCAGCTGCCAAGATTCACATTTCTACCCCACGTCTTCGGATATCTCAAATACTGCCCGACTAATCAAGATGCTGCAACCATTGAAGAACGTTGTCGTCCTCGGAGGATCGTATGTCGGTCTTGTAAGTGTCTCTTTGTACTTAGGCTGTTGCCTATAGAATAAGTGCTAACAGCTCGCCGTGAGTCAGGCCGCTGTGAGCGAGCTTGCCGCTGCTCTGCCAGCATCCCACCGCGTGAGTGAACTTCCAAAAAAACAACTTTGAAACGAGTGACGACTGACTCGTAGCGAGCAGATTTTGCTTGTTGAACCGCACAGCCACTTTCATCATCTTTTCGCATTTGTGAGTTGCCAGTGTAGTCACTGCGTCGTTGCAATTTATTACTAAACCGTGATTCAGCCTCGCTTCGCAGTCCTCCCAGACCATGAGCACAAAGCCTTCATTCCATACACAGCAGCTTTCTCAAAGTCATCCGACCCATCGCGGCACCAGGTGATTCAAGCCCGTGCCAAATCTCTCCGCCCCAACTCCGTCATTCTGGATAGAGGATGGCATGGTTCAGGAGAGATTCCATTCGATTATTTGGTTGTCACAACAGGCACCAGATTGCCCAGCCCAGGAACTATGCCCGGTGATGATAAGCTATCGTCGGTCGACACCTTGAGAGCGCATCAGCAGGCGGTTCAGAAGGCATCTTCTGTCATTCTCATCGGAGGCGGCGCGGTGGGCGTTCAGATGGCTACGGATCTTAAGGAAATTTACCCTGAGAAGGAGGTCACTCTTGTGCATTCACGAGAGCACCTCATGCCTCTTTACCACACCAAGTTGGATGAGATTATCAAGGCTCGATTCGATGAGTTGGGAATCAAGTATGCTCATCAGCGTGACATCCTTGTCTCAACAGTTATTGACATTTTACTTTAGGTTGATCACCGGCTCCCGTGCTGTGATTCCTCCTGGCGGTCTTGCCTCCCAGACTTCAGTCAAGCTGCAAGATGGTCGTGGACTCTCAGCGGATCTGATCATCCCCGCAACGGGGCAAATACCTAACAACCAGTTCCTTCAGGATCTCAAGCAGACTGGCGACACCCCTCTTGTAAACCCGGCGAACGGCTTCATCAAAGTGCGACCGACACTGCGATTTGAAGACCCAGCATACCCGCACATGTTTGCTGCTGGTGATATTGCCGACTCTGGTGCGCACAAGGCTGCTCGGCCTGGCGCCGGACAAGCGAAGGTAGTCGCTCAGAACATTCTGGCTATGATCAATGGCCAAGAGCCGACAGAGCACATTGTAGTTACTCCACCGGCAATTCATCTATCATTGGGACTGGTAAGGCCACACCCACGGATAACTGTTAAGAGGAAGTCGCGCTGACCGAGATCTCCTCTTCCCCCCGACGTAGAAAAAGAACTTTGTGTTCAGAAACCCCGATGTTGCAGCAGGACAGACTGAACCAGCAGTCGTGCCGCGAGAAGAGTAAGTTACTGCCGCTTCATGGCCAACCGTTATTGTGTACTGACTTTTATTCAGGGGAACAGCGGACATGAACATTGAGGGCGTGTGGGAGCGAAGAGGTATTCGTGTCACCGACCCTAGAGAGTACCACCTGTAATAACAGAAAGAGTGGAGGCCAATCACTGTTGTGAGAACCTGCAGAGAAAGATGGCGAAATATTCCGATGCACAACACAACGGTCCATAGATAGGCTTAGAGGCCGATCAAACAGTTGTCGCTAACCAGTAGTATATGTCGACCAAAGAGGAAAGGCCAATCAAATAAAGGAGAAATCGTCTTCCAGATCTGTTTTCAAGCGGAGCCGGTAACAAAGACAGGGGGGTTGTTCAACAGATTCACTGTTCCGGGAACGGTTCCGACAAGTGTCGGAATAACGCCCCAAGCTCAAACCTGGTCGATGTCCAGGCTAAGACTGCTAGTCAGCATCGTAAATACTCTCAAAATACCTGACTCTCCTATGTATCGCTAGAAATCTGATAAGTGTCAAATCGAACGAATTTGGGGTGACAAAGCCTGTTGTGTATACGAATCCTGCTTTATTAAATCGTTACTACGCATAGCCCCCCGCTAAATGTCTTCTCTTACTTCCCATCGCCGTCCTCATTTGTAAGATAAGGGTCTAGGCTGTTCATAACTTCTTCATGTCCGAAGCATTCTACCAAGTCCCAGGCTATTTGGTAAGCACCTTATCCCTCTAGGGCGCCATCTTCCAACAACAGCTCGACTATTCCACCATGACCACTTTCAGCAGCTAGCATCAAAGCGCTAAACATATGGCTTTGCCTGTTCTCATATGCCTGAGTCTCGTGTTGTAGAAAGATTTGTACCATATTGTACCTCCCAAGCTCGGCAGCCCATGCGAGAGGTCCGTCATTGGAGCAATATCCCCAGAGATCCGCACCATGAGCGAGCAACAGCTTTACCATTGCCTCGCTTTGACTCTCAAACGCAAGCATCAAGGGCTTAAGGTGTTCCCGAGTCCTAACCAGTAAGTCACCCAGACATACACATTCGCCTACAAATATACGCGAATTCCTCACAGGATTTGATCAAACATCTACACAAGTCTAGTAAGGCTTTGACTTTGTTGACGAAGTACTGTGCCAATAACGAATTCTATCACCTGTTCGCCGTATTCTAGCATCGTGACATTCGCAATTCTCGCTTGACATAATGGCCTCAACTTGAAGTCACATTTATACCGCCGAGAATGGACTTTCATTCTTCCATCCTCAAGTACAATAGAGGTCAGCAAATCCAGCAAGTAAATCTACCATTATAACGCCTCATCTTACTTATTCATGGCATAAGATTATCCAGACATCATTTTTAGTAAGTTAAAATGCAAAATAACTGCACAAATGAGCATATTGCCAATACGGCCGGTTACTATCTATAAACTCTACGCCGAATCCGCTCGAAACTGCGCACTTGAGGACTCTAGAAACTCCGACCATTACTCCAGGCCACCCCAAGTCGATCGCGCGTAGAATGCTAAGCCCGCTGCCTGACAACAGTAGGATAATAATGAAGAGGCAAGGATGCAATTTCGGTGTGGCTAAAAGTAGGTGGTTTGGCTTTTGGTAGATCGGCTTATCAACTCAACACTGAGTGATGCTAATGAAGTTTTGCTTTGCATTACCCAGAGAGGGTGTCTCTTTCCGTGCATTCGGTGTAAATTTCCCCAATGAAGTTAAAGAACATTAGAGTTCGCCACGTCTCCACAAGAAAACCTATCCTGGACGTGGTCGTCAAGCTGCCTGCCCCTTCAGGTTACTGTCGTGGTAAAACTACCCCGTACTGAACAGGCGCTAGCATTCTATTCGGACTTATAAACTCTCACTTTGCAGGTACGGAAACGACCTAATCACTACCTTACTTGGCACGTCTACAGTGAGTAAGGCTGTTTGAAAAAACGTGGGGTATTAGGAAGTTGAGCTACCTAGTCACTTAGAGGTTTTGTGTCATTACGTATCGGCTTTTAGGCTAAATAGATTGATCTGCGTGGATACGAGGTACTCCCGCAACTTTTACATCTATGTATTGTCGTGCGGGAGGACTGAGATGCATTTTACATGTAGGCTATCCTAAAATTCACGGAGATCTCCCTTTTACCCGCTTTAGTGTGAACCATTGCCGTCGTTTGGTTGAAGTTAAAACACAATTCTATTATCCTTGGTCATGTTGCTCACGCGCGCCAATACTATCATTCTCTGCTACTTTAAGTTGAATGACTGAACCGCACGAATGATGTTTCTAAAGTCATGCTTCATTTGAAAAAGTGCATATAGAGTGATCCTGATATTTATATTTCGCCGTCCACTTCTGTGGGAAACGAATCCCATTAAGTAACCAACGCGACTAGATCTAGAATCTTCATGATTAAGTACAAACATCGACACGTCCAGCATGATGTATTCTTCTAAGTACTGGGTCAATCTTTCTTTTTTACTGGCTCTAAGTCTCTCTCCTTTTGGCTCAGGAATCGTCAGAGCAGACAATCCGATCATCCAGACCGATTTCACAGCAGATCCGGCGCCGGTTGTCTACAATGACCGCGTCTACCTCTTCACCAGCCATGATCAGGATTCCGCAACCACTTGGTACAACATGAAAGATTGGCTGCTATTCTCGTCAGCAGATATGGTCAATTGGCAACATCATGGCTCACCAATGAGCCTTGAAACCTTCTCCTGGGCTACCGTAGACGCGTGGGCAGGGCAGGTAGTTGAACGCAACGGCAAATTCTACTACTACGTCCCCATCAACCGCGGCCCTACCTGGGCGACCTTCGCCATCGGAGTGGGTGTCAGCGACAAGATCGAAGGGCCGTATGAAGACGCTATCGGCGGTCCGCTTCTCGCTAATGGCCAATTCGACCCTACTGTCTACATCGACGATGATGGCCAGGCGTATCTTTATTGGGGCAATCCAGACTTATACTACGTCAAACTGAATGAGGACATGATTTCCTACAGCGGTGACATCGTCAAGGTACCCCTTACAACAGATGGCTTCGGCGATCGCGGTAACGGACAAACTATGTACCAGGAGGGGCCTTGGTTCTACAAGCAAAATGGCCTCTATTACATGGTCTACGCAGCCAAATGTTGCCCTGAGAACATCCAGTACTCGACTAGTCCAAGCCCGACTGGACCTTGGACCTACGGCGCTATTGCTATGGCTACTGGAGGAACGAGCGACACTAATCACGTGGGAATTGTAGAATTCAAGGGCAAGCAGTACTTTTTCTACCACAACGACGCCCTTCCCGGTGGTCAATCCTACAAGCGATCTGTCTGCGTCGAGAGTTTTAGTTATGGAGCGAATGGAACCATTCCGCAAATTCCGATGACATCCGAAGGTGCAGCACAGATTGGCTCCTTGGACCCTTTTGTCCGCCAGGAAGCCGAGACGATCGCCTTTTCGGAAGGCGTTGAGGCTCAAATCACTGCCTCTGGTGGCATTGCCGTTGCATTCATCAACAGTGGTGATTATATCAAGGTCAAGGGTGTTAACTTTGGCACTAGGGGCGCGAGCCAATTTCGTGCCGCTGTCTCATCTGCAACCAATGGCGGCCGCATTGAGTTGCGTCTTGACAGTCGCAGCGGACAATTGATTGGGACGTGTACCATTGGGAATACTGGGGGTTGGCAGACATGGTCAACTATCACATGCCCTGTGAGAAATGCGATTGGCAAACATGATCTTTTCTTCGATTACATTGGTAACGGCACTGAGTATCTGTTCAACGTCGATTGGTGGCAATTTTCGTAGTGCTTGAGTCGTCAAGACTCCTATTTAAGTAGGTAGCTATGTATTATGGGAGCTTGAAGCCCGATCCCGTCAAGGTCGATCTTTTGCGCCTATGAAGCCAGCCAAAATCCATTACATAGGAGATGCCAGTCCGCATTATATCTTCTTCAAACCTACCCTTGTGTCTTCAATAACGCCAACATCATTTACAACTCAGTCGATGACACAAGCCAGTCTATTCATGTATCATATTGGGGCTACCTCTGTTAGACAATCGCGACAACCTCTCTGTCCAGCGATTGAGCCAAGACCATCTCATAGTACATTCCCCGCCTCTGGAAAAGTTCCTCATGAGTGCCGTTCTCAGCGACTTGGCCTCTGTGCAGCACAAAAATTCGGTCGCAGCGCTGTATAGTCGACAGGCGATGAGCCACAGCAATAGTGGTCCGGCCAGGCTTCTCTCGCGCGACCGCCTCGATGGCAGCTTGTACCAGCACCTCGTTGGCGGTGTCTAGGGCGCTAGTGTCTTCATCAAAGAGTAACACCTCCGGCTCGCGGATTAGCGCTCGAGCGATTGCGAGACGTTGGCGCTGACCCCCGGAGAGAGCGACACCGCGGTTTCCGACGTCGGTCGCGTATCCGTCGGGCAAGCTGCTAATAAAATCATGCATGTTGGCCGAGCGGCACGCGCGCTCCACGCGATCATCTGCGTCGGGCGCCGCCGCCTCATCGTCTGGAAGACCAAGGAGAATGTTATCCCGGATGCTGCCCTGGAAGAGCGCGGTATCCTGCGATACAAGGCCGATGCGGGAGCGGTGAAATTGTACGTCCAAATCTCGGATAGTTGTGCCCTCAACGAGGAGCTGTCCAGAGTTGATGTCGTAAAATCGCTCTAGAAGGGCAACAATGGTACTTTTACCGCAGCCCGAGGCGCCTACGATGCCAACGGACTGGCCCCTTAGGATCTTGAGATTGAGACCGTGTAGTACAGAGCGATTTGGCCGGCTGGGGTATGCAAAGGTCACGTCGCGGAATTCGATGGCTACCCGGTTGTTCTCGCTCTCCGGCAATTCCTTGACGCCGGAGGAGGTATTGATGGGAGGCTGCGATATGCGCAAGTCAATGATGTGATTTGCCGCCGAATATGCTCTCGAAACGTCTGTTACAAAGGTACCCGTTAGTATTCTAGTCTTTCACTGCCTGAAGAATCCGACTTGGGATGTGTGGCTTGATGAAGCAACTTACTCGACGAAAAGCCGAACAGAACGCCGCCCGATTGCGACCCCATAAGCACCGCCATGAAGACAATGAAGAATGTTCGCATATCGTAATGACCCTCAG